CCATATACCTGAAGGACTAGGAAAACTGGTTTCATATCTAAATAGACTGGTAATGGTGCAAACAGATGGAAAGAAGGTTCTGAAGTCAGAAAAATGAGAGTAGCTAAAGCAAGAGATTGGTTGTGGGGGGAAAACCACACAGGGAAGCATTAACAATAATAGCTTCCTTAACTGTCAAGCAAGCAAATCATACTTACTCTGATCGTCTGCTCAGATTTACCAAGGTAAGAAGTAACAGCCTTGCTGGGACCCCTGGGTTTTTCAGCTAACAATAAAACTGAGGTATTTCCAACAGGACCAGGTCTGGCCAACTAGGCAGGGAGAAAGGGAGGAGTTGATGGTGGATGTGTGTCTTGTCTGGGACTTAGGTCAGACATTTTATTCAGTTAGTCAGTAGGCATTATCACTTCTTTCCCACATGATTGAGAGTTTGGAAACCTTGGTGTGGGAATAATGGCACCCCATAAGTAGAAGTAAGTGGGCAAAAAATGTAATGGTTTTACATGACCCTCATAGAGAATTTGAGCCTTAGTGTCTAAGAAATGTGTGCACTGGAAAGGTATGTGGTAGTCCATGACCATCCAGCATAAATGAAGCTATGTAGATCTTTTACTAACCACCTTAGATACTTGGAGGGCCACACATTTTTTAGGCACCTACTATTCCCATTTATCTATCAGTTATGGGTGAGTAACCAAGTAGTGATCATCAGCTCTGTTTGGACTATCTTGAGCTCCCACCTCCACAGAACAAAGTAAAGCAAGTAAATTTGAAACAGGGAGAATGAGTATTTCTGAAGAAATCTGTCATGCTCTGGAGTTTGAGCAAAGCTGTATTAAGAAGCAACCTTAGCCTAAAAAGTAAATAAAGAAGAACGTGCTATTGAGGACTAAAGAATAACTATTTCTACTTCAATTCCATTGACATCTAGAACTGCTGCTCATCAGGGCTGGAAATATTTCCTTGGAATTACAATTGCCAAGGAAAAACAAAAAACAACAAAAAACAAAACAAAACAAAAATCCCTCAAATGTTTCAAATTATTCTGGGCTGGAAATTCCCAGTTTTCCATGTGTTTCCAGTAAGGTTGATTTTTGAGATAATTTCTGGAAAATAAAGGAAAAAAGAATTTGGGTAACTCATAAAAACAAGTAATATGTGATAATTGTATGAGAAAAGCTAAAACAACATTTCACAGCTGGTCAGCATAGAAAAACGACTGGTCGGTTTGGCTTTACAGATAACACCTGTATGTCTTGAGTAATACAAATGTACATTATTCACTGAAAGACTATTGTACTGTATTAAATTCCTGTGTATAAGAAAAGTGAAAACTTAGCTTTTCTGTAACTGATTTTTTATATTATCAAGTTAAACTTGCTCAAAAGTATACATGATCAATCACATTATATCGTTCTGTAAGATGTTCTAGTCTAAAAGCAGAGAAAGTGAATTTGAGTTCTAGCAGGCATGCATGCAGCAATATTTTTCTGAGAAAAATAAATCTCTACAGTGTAAATCTCAAGAATGTTGTCTTTGCAAGTGAAGGAAAACAGGCAGTGTCAACTCCTATCTTCTGATCAGGACTTTGTGTCACCTTTGAATGCAGCCTAAAGGGGAGCATGACTTGAGGTGAGCACCATCTTCATGGCTGTGCATGGTAATGTATGTTAAGTATGTTGTGAGTGTGAAACTGTGGGACTGTGTTTGTACATGAGGATGCATGTTCTCCACCATTGTTTAATACAAGAAGAGATGATGAGAGCAAAAAAGAGCAAAGGAATGCAGTTTCTCTCAAAACCCTTTGCAAATTTAAGTTCATATCAAAATTGGAATAATAAATATTCCGTTGTCCTACTGCCAACATACAAAGTTTGCTTTTTAAAGCAGTCTTCTAACAATAAGAATTGGTGAAACAAGGTGGAAAAGGAGCAAGAGTCTCTCTTCACAGTATTAGTAATTGGACCATGTGGTATTACATTTCCATTTCCAACATCCAGGCTCCTGGCTACCAAGGGGGAGAATTCAGAGCCCACAAGGCCTCCAGATGCAGCAAGCCCTGGGGTAGGCCTCTTGATATGGAAAAGCCAAACAGAGCTGCGAGGCTGTGATTCTTCCATGTGGGAGGTAAGGAGCAGGTGTTTGGCTAGAGAGAGGCCTCCAGATGCAGCAAGGCCTGGGGTAGGCCTCTTGATATGGAAAAGCCAAACAGAGCTGCAGAGCTTCGAGGCTGTGATTCTTCCATGTGGGAGGTAAGGAGCAGGTGTTTGGCTAGAGGGGAATATTTTACTGTCAGATATTTCCTCACTCTTACCATTAAAACCACAGTTTGGGGGTGGAGGTGAGGATTTGACACTTTAGCAAATGGAAATTTGAGAAAATACTACTTAGAGAGGCTCAGAAACCCCAGGGAGTGCAGCCATGCTGGAAATGTGGAGATCAGAGCACCTGTAAGTGTTTTTCTCTGGCTCCTCCCTCACCCATATTTGTGTTTTCCAGGTTGGATTCTAAGTACCTATTGATCTTCTTGGCTCCATCTTTAAACTGTAAATGTCTTGCTAGCATTAATCATGGCATGTTCTCCTTCACAAGCCCCTAGAGAGCCTCACAAAGCCCTTTACACCTTGACATGTATTTTGTTAAGCTATGGAGGTTTTAAGAGGTGTTGTAGATTCTATGTAATTAAGAGCTGGGAAATTTTGGTGTCAGGAGAGTCAGTCACTAATAGGCTTTTTATCCACAAGCAAGTCTCTAGTCTGTAGGCCTAGCTAGGGTTCTCATTGGCTAGTAGATGGTAATAGATGCCTTACATAATCTCCAAGACAATTTGGAACTTGTAATATTCTGGAGTAGAAAGTCTTCTTTGGGGGAAGTGTAAAATTATATATCTGTTGACTTTAAGATCATATATTCTATAAATGTAGTGGAAATTTCTCATTCACTATGCGCTATACTCTTTACAGAGAACAGCAAAATAATAAATTGCTCCATATACACGTGGTGACTAGTATATTTTGTATTTCTTTGGTAAAACTAAAAACTCCTGCTGTTTTCACAGAGTGAAAATTACTTCCTTCAGTTAACAGTAACTAAGTGCTATTCTAGAGCACAATGGTTTGTCCCAATTCCTTACTGTAGTTTTTCTCAGATACTATAGAATTAACTTTCTAAATTGTACAAGTAACTTCCACATAAAAAAAGAGAAGAAAATTCAAGAATTTTCTCTAAGATTGAACTTATTGTATCTAAAGCTCTATCTGTCCCTTTCCTTGTGATAAATACTTCCAATCAATATTTAGTACTTGATACATTTTGAAATTGATCTTTTCTCAACGCATTTACAAACATTTGAAGAATTTGTTTGAATACAAATGTCGTTTATCAAAGTTGAGGACATAAAATTTAGATTCAAGAGTCATGTTAGAAGAACAGCATAAAAAAAGCTTTCAGTAAGAATTAGTTCATTGGAATTTTCTTAAACTGTACATGAAGAACCTGTCTACAATTAAAAATAATTACAAGTAATTACTTTAAACTGCTATCATCTGAAATACCTGTCTCTCAAAGCGATCCTTTGAGATACAAATGATGAACTAGTTAAATATATTGAACTAAGGTTGCTCTGGAGACTATTTTTGATGTCAAATATTGGCCTTTTTTTCACTGGAAGTAATAAAATAATAGTTTGGCATGCAAGGGCACAAGGCAAAGCCCCAGAGTGAGTATGCTCAGAAGAAGGCTGAAGGATGCTAGGGATTAAAGAGGACTACTAGATCCTCCACTCTGTCTCTATAGCCTAGCCCACTCTGATAATATTGATTGTGGGAAGTCCTGGGAATTAGAATGCAGTACCTTCCTTCCAGATCTTGATATATTTTCAGGATCTAGCAGGGGTTAATAGGTTCCCCTTAGTATCCCTGAGCTCCTTTAAATTCTGTGAGGGTTAATATTGTCAACTTCACAGGATCTAGCATCACCTAAGAGACAAAAATCTAAGATTTATTTTTGAGGGAGCTGCTAGATTGGGTTTAGGTAGGAAATACCACACCATAAATGGTGGCACCATTCCATGGTCTGGGATCCTGAACTGAACAGGAAGAATATGAGGCAAGCATCAGCACTCATCTCTCTCTGCTTCCTGACTGCTGACAGAAGGTGATCAGCTGCCTCCTGCTCCTGGCACTGTACCTTCCCGCTATGATGAACCTCAACTAAGAAACCAAAATAAATCTTTCTTCCTTTAGGGTGCTTCTTGTCAGGAACTTAGTCAAAACAGTGGGGAAATTAACTAACACATGTTCTAAGTGATGCCAGGATAAGTTTTCCTTTCATTCCAGATGATTCCAAAGGGTGTACCAGGCAGGGGTTATGAGTATCACTGCTGGATGATCTGAAATGCCTTCTTCAGTCCTGGACCCTCATTGTACCTTTCTTGATAACTGATCGTTTAGGGGCAAGTGGGGGTCACCCTGCTGTCCTCTGAGGCACTGAAGGTTAAAAAAGTGGTGAAGGTGTTTAGATTATGCTGGCTGTTATTTTCAACGGGGCATTCATAGGCTAACCTGAAAAATGGCCAGGAGTTAGGAAGCTCTGTTCCTTGCCTTAGTAGGCCTGCTAGACATTAGGGCTAGCTTTGAGAAAGTCACTGGGTTTTCCTTGTGCAGTCTTAGAATTGATAATTAAGGGGAACAAAAAGAAACAAGAAAATGAGTAGCCAGGACAATGCCACCTGCCTACTAATAAGCGCCAACCTTCCTCCCCCGAAAGTATTCTTTCATCCAAATAGAAATTTCTGTGAATGAGACTAGCCCAAGGGCCCATGCTGAGTAGCTGACTTAGCAGAGATGCTCTAAGTGCAGAAATTCATATTTGCAATTTAATTATCATTTAAGTGAGAAGGGAGAAAGTGTGAGAACAAACTTTAAAAGTCTGGGAGGGAAATCAGAAGTTCCTTCAAAAGTTAACTCTTTCCTTTCCGGCCCTGACATTGTACAGCAAAGAAAGTTCCGGTGGCTGGAATGAGTGGCAATGATTGTGCACCCTGACGGACCGCGAGCTAGAGAAAGCCAGGAGGGAGCCCCGGCGTTTACACACAGCCATAGACTTCTCAAGCCTTAGCGGGCCTGGCCCCTGGTGACCACAGCCCTGCCTGCTCAGCGACGCGCCAGGAAGCTCCCGCGGCAGCCCTGCGGCTCTGCTGGTGACCGGGAGAAGTTAGTCACCCCCAGTCTGAACTCAGAAAGCATCAGAACTCCAGTAGGCTGGGAAATGAAGAGGCAGGAAACCTGGTACCCGGACCGGACCGTCTGGAGGGCGCAAAAGGAGCTCGGGACCATGGGATGCACCGGTAGCTGGAAGCCCAGGCCAAAGGGTGGAACCACGAACTGCAAAGCCAGGGCGCACCGGTGGGCAAAAGGCAAAAACTTGCAGCAAGAACTTCCTATCCAGTGCAAGAACAGCAAGTGAAAAAGAAGCAGGGAGATACTTGAAAAGTCTCAGTAACTTTAAAAATACACCAAAACACCCCTTCAGGAGATGAGGTAAGCCGAGGTTAGCCAACCCCGATTGGTTGTGAAATACCAGACCCGGAGTCTCTGTGGCTTGCTTTAAATGAGGCCAAGGAAATTTACTGTTTTTCCTGCTCAAATACTTTTTTTTGTTTAATTCCCTCGCTCCGGCTCCCTCCTTTGTCCCTCCTTCCACCTCCCCAGGTCCGGGTTCCTTCCCCCTTTCTGGTCTCCCATTCCTCGATCACCCTCCTCCCCTCCTTACGCCCTCCCCCCATCAGATTAGGCTCGGACTGGGAAGGGTGGGAGCGGTGGGGGAAGCTCTCCCTTTAAGAGGCAGCGTGCAGTGACGAATTGTTGAAATTGCCATTGCAGGATGGCATGCCGCTATAAATTCATTGTTCCCCCTCCTCGCATCTTCACAAGGCTGGAGCTGCTCTCGGCGCACGCAGCAGCAGACTGGGGATGACCGCGGGCCGGAGGACACGGCAGCGAAAGGGACAGGGACGCGCCGCCTCACCCGCTCGCCGCAGGCCGCCTCCTGCGATTTTATTTTAAATTTTTACGGCTTTTTTCCGTCTCTTTTTTTCCCTGCCTCCTAGTTCCAGCGGAGCTAAGGAAACCCACAAAATAAGAAAGGAAGTGGGCCCCGGAGCTTGGAGCCTCTACAGCCTACAAGTCCCCAGCAGCAAGGGGCAGGAGCCAAGGCGCACCAGTTGCGGACTGGGTGCGCGATTTTTTTTTTTTATTTTTTTTTACTATCTTTCTTGTTGTTGTTGTCATTGCTGTTTATGGTGCAAAGATATTGGCTGCATTAGGTTTCTCTCTCTCTTTTTTTTTTTTTTTTTCGTATTTGGTGAATTTTCACCGCCTGGCTTTTTAATCTTTTTCTTCTTTCTTCCCCCCCCCCCCATTTTTGTTTTTTGTCTTTTGGGTTTTATTTTTCTTCCTTCTTCTTTTTCTTTTTCCTATTTCCGGAGCAAAAATCCAAACATTTTGCAAACCAACAAAGAAAAAGTTCGCACGCTGGCACCGCGACTCAAACAGGCTGACGCTCTGCTACGGTTCTCCCATCCCCTGTCCCCTTCACCCTTGGACACTTGACTCAACCTTGCAAGCCTGTGTGTGTGTGTGTGTGTGCGCGCGCGCGCGCGTGTGTGTGTGTGTGTCTGTTTGTGGGCCGCCCCGTGCGCCCCCAGCCCCCGCCCCTGAAACTTCCCTAGCAAATAACAAATACCCAGCAAGTCTCGGTCGCGCAGCCCCTCCCCGCGGGCAGCGCAGTATGCGGCTCGGGTGGGCGTCCCTGCTGCTGCTGTGCGCGTCCTGCCTGTCCCCGGAGGCTGCCAGCCCCGCCGCGGCACCTGCCCAGGATAAAACCAGGCAGTCTCCCATTGCTGCGGAGGCCGCCCAGCCCAGCCTGCTGCAGGGGGAGGAGACGCGGGAGCTGAGCCATCTGCACCCCTGGACCAAGCAGCGCAGGAGCGGCGGGTTTGTGCAGAACATCGACCAACTCTACTCCGGCGGGGGCAAGGTGGGCTACCTTGTCTACGCGGGCGGCCGGAGGTTCCTGCTGGACCTGGAGAGGGATGACTCGGTGGGCACTGCTGGTGGCTTCGTTCCCGCGCCAGGCGGCCTAAGCTCATCCTTGCGCCATAGGGGCCACTGCTTCTACCGTGGCACGGTGGACAGCAGCCCTCGTTCCCTGGCAGTTTTTAACCTCTGCGGGGGTCTCGATGGCTTTTTTGCGGTCAAGCACGCTCGATACACACTGAAGCCATTCCTGCGTGGGCCCTGGGCCGAGGCAGAGGCCGGACGAGTGTATGGGGATGGGTCTTCGCGGATTCTGCACGTCTACACCCGCGAGGGCTTCAGCTTCGAGGCCCTGCCTCCACGCACCAGCTGCGAGACCCCCACGTCCCCGCCTGCGCCCCGCGAGCGTCCCTCCGTGCACAGTAGTTCCCGCCGACGCACGGCGCTGGCGCTGCAGCTCTGGGACCAGTCGGCTCTCTCGCCTGCTGTGAACCCAGAACCTCAGACGTGGTGGCGACGGCGGCGACGTTCCATCTCCAGGGCCCGCCAGGTGGAGCTGCTTCTGGTTGCAGACTCTTCCATGGCAAGGTTGTATGGCCGGGGCCTGCAGCATTACCTGCTAACCCTGGCGTCCATCGCCAACCGGCTGTACAGTCACGCCAGCATCGAGAATCACATCCGCCTGGCTGTGGTGAAGGTGGTGGTGCTGAGTGACAAGGACAAGAGTCTGGAGGTGAGCAAGAACGCCGCCACCACGCTCAAGAACTTTTGCAAATGGCAGCACCAACACAATCAGTTGGGAGATGACCACGAGGAGCACTACGATGCTGCCATCCTATTTACTCGCGAGGTAGGTGCAGGGTACCCAGCTCTGGAGGTAGGTGGGAAGGAGGGTCTTGCCGATGGCTCTGCTTCTCTCACAAACCACCTGCCTCTATAGATTTGCTTAACTGAGACTGCCAAGAAACTCAGCTGCTCCCTTGGGTGTTGAGATTTGCCTCCTGCAACTCCTGCCCTGACTAGACCTGCTTAGAAAACAAGCATTCATTAAAATGCTAGATGCCATTCGGTCAGACAGGGCAGTGTGGTACTTGAACTTAAGAACTTGGTAATACGGCACTAGAATGCGTGGAAGGTGCACAGTTAATGACAAAGGGGGAAAGTAAGATTGCCTGCATTTTCTACTTTTCAGTGAAGCCAAAAATACTCTTTTGTCCAACTTGATGGGAAGAGCTTGAAAGTTGGCACTTTTGTCTGGGTGATGGCATTCCTGGTAAATGTCCCTACATGAACTCTTCTGTAAACCATCTGGTGCTTTCCAAAGGACTTCTATTCTAATGTGGCTTCCTAATGGGATTCTATCTAATGTGTCCACCTTGGAATCTCAGTTCCAGGGAAGGAAGGAATATGGGAGGGCCAGGAGGAGCTAAAAGTCCAATCAGCTGAGGGGACAATTTCCAAGGTTGTCTAACAAGCCCAGTCTACCAGCACATCACAAGCACCACCCTCCAACTCAGCTGCCAAGCAAGGGTCAAATCGGATTCTCAGGTTTGGGTTTTGAATGAAAATGTTTTGAAGTCCCAGTGCAGAAAGTCTGGGCAAAGAGTCAAGACATGGGGAAAGAATGTTTTCCAAGGGCTTCCCCTTTGGGTAAGATGGTTACAAGGAAGGAAAGGCATGGGTCATTATAAGCTCAGAGCTTCGGGAAGGAACAAGTCTATTTACAGTTATAAGACCACCATGTTAGCATGACAGTCATACAAAATGTTGGGGCTTGCTGGGAATTGTGAGCTTCAGCGTTCACAAAACTGGTCTTGATCGACAGGGTTTTCCTCCACTACTCTTTGGAATTTTCCTCCCACTGCTGCTGACTCCCTTCTTCCCAACTAGCCCTCTTCCCCTTTCAGGTCCTTTTGTGCAAGTGCACCTGTGTTCTACAGGTGATCACAGCTGCTGTGGGTTCATGATTGCCATGGTCATGTCATTATCTAGAAGGCAACATTTTATAGTGCCCCCCTCACCCTCTGGCTCTAATAGTCCTGCTACCCCATCTCCCTGTGTCCCCAGGGCCTCTGAATGAACGGTATAGATGGCCCATATAGGCTGGACATTCTGCCTCCCTTCTTTTTCTCAGCATTTTGATGGGTCATAAGTCTCCAATTCTACTTTGGACCACTGCCAAAAGATGCTTCTCTGCCTAATTTGTGCTTCTCACATGGCTGATAGGAACTGAATTCCAAAGCTCACGCTACAGTGTTTGAGATTCATCCAGAACAGATGAAGTAAGTACAAACATTTTACAAACTGAAGCTAATAGAGCAAGGATAGAAAGTTCAAGGACGCATTGCAACAGACTTCAGGAGCTTACAGCCTCACTACCTGTTTTGTCTGTTTTTACTAAAGCACTCATGGTATGGAGGAAAAAGTGCAGATAAATTTGGAGAAGAGAAACACTTGTGGTTCATGGGGTGGACATACATGTAAACCACATGTAAACAAAGACGTTGAAGGTAGCACATAAATCACCAGAAGCACTGTGCACAATGGAAAAATCTTTCTCCTCTTTAAGGGATGTTCTGGAAGCCATCCTTTAATTCCTCTGCCCAGCATTAGTCTTTGAAATGTTAGAACATTTATTTTGTAGGCTGCCCTGTGAAGTTCTGCTGTAAAACTATCCCTTTCTTGCTTGGTTTCCAAGTCTTTTTTTCTCATAAGCAAATTTCTACTTCTGGGCTTCCTTGCATTGCTCTTGCTATATTGTGAGCAACTGCCAGGAAGGCTTGCAAGAGTTTGTGGAAGGATACTCCCTAAACAAAGGGAAAAAACACTTTTGTAGGCAGATCACACCAAAAAGTATACTGTAATCATTTTAATAATTTTACTTCATTTCTGAAAGCAAAAGTACAGTCCATAATTCTAAAATTAACATGAAGACATTCCATCCCTTGCCCTCTTACCCATAATTTTCCTAATTGTTTCCCAGCAAAAAGGAAACCAGTCAGTGATTCTAAATGATGCTTACTGCTTTTTCTGGGTTGTTTTTGTACTTGGGTAGTTGACAATTCCTGTTCACCAAACTGGAAAGCACATCACTGTATTTTAACCAGACAAAAGGAAGATAGAAATAATGAAATGCTCTAACTTGTTTTTGACTAAAAATTTTTATTACAATTTATTTATTATTTACTTATTTAGTGGGGGGGGTGGCTGATGTGCCATTACATTCAAGGGAGGCTAGTGAAAGAGGAGTTGGCTTTCATTTTCCATCCTGAGGGGCTCAGGGATCAAATTCAGGTTGTCAGACAACCTTTACCCACTGAGCCATCTTACCAGTCCTCACGTAACTTTAATAAAAATTATGACAAAATTTTCCAAACTGGTCTACACATGGGAAATATTTTGAGTCCTCCTTGGCTTTCTTACCAAGCAGAAGCATGGTTTAACTAAAGCAAACATCTTTTAGTTTGTGGTTGGTCTCTAATATAGTCATCTAACTTCACAAAATTTGAATCTTTGAGAAGCACTTATAATATGAATATATTAATCTAATTTTAAAAGAAGGCCATTAGCCAGGTGGCTGGGAAAGTATTTCAAGACCTTATGTACACTGGAGAGTGCTCAGCATATGTAGTGAATCTCCACATAATGCTTCAGAGAGTACAAACTCAAAAGGCTGGAGGAGGGACGATTGGGTCTTCTGTCATACAGAAGTCAGATATTTTAAGGATGACCCCCATGGAAAAAAATAACTTTCGTAGCTGTTTCTTTTCGATGAGAAATACCCAGAGTTGGCATAAGGATTCTACTTTTACAACTCTGTTTTGAATGTAAGACACACGTTGCTTAGGAGCCAGACTCTGGGCCATCAAATCCCTGTCTGGATGGGCTTTGAGTTCTGTTCAACCTTTTGTCCAGATGTCTTCTCCTAAAATGCTTGCTTTTTAGGCCTGAAACAAATGTGTGAGGATATGTTTTCCACCCTGATTTCCTAGTCAATGCTACCTTGAACACTGGGCTTAGGAATCAGCAGAAGTGTTAATAACTCATCTATCAAGTTACACACTTAACTGTCAGGGCTGGGCTGCTGCACTTTGGTACTGTCTAATTACAAAAACAGCACCCAGCACATTTCTGGCACAAAAGCCATTTTCATTGTAAAATGGCATTTCTGCTGGAATTCACACCACTTCTGAAATTCAACACCGCCCCCCCCCAGCATTTTTGCTTTTCAAATTCCTTTCTTTGTCCCTGACTCCCTCCTTTTTGAAAAAATAATTTATTTAAAAGCAGAGTCTGAAGTTCATTTTCCAGACAATTCACTCATCTTTACAATCAAAATCCTGCCTGATTGATAACAAAATTGGAAATCTTTTAACATCCCTAACCCTATCCCTGCCTAACGACAATGCAATCTTTACCACTCCATGAACTGAAAGCATTGGTTGAAGCTTGTCCAGCTGAGAGATTGCAATATTAAAGACTGATTCATTTTTCATTGATTATTAATGTGCTCTTTAATAAGCTTTTATCTCCCAGTTAAATCCTCTCATCTCCCCTGCCTGCCTTGTGACACTCCATCCAGGACTTGGACATTACTCCTTTACCATTTGATTCCTATGGCACTAGGAGAACAAAACATGGAAGAAGGGGAAGGCTGCACCTTTTTCCATTGGTTTACTGACTGTAACAACTAATTTAGTCATGTGTTTAAATCCAAATCCATATCAAGCCAAAAGTGAACCTTTATTAAGAAATTATAACCTATAGTCAATCTTAACTAAATTAGTCAGAAACAGGGAGACTAGTAGCAGATTAAGCAACTCTAGCTGATATTTTTTAAAAAGATGGGAGAAATTTTCTGAAAGAGTTGAAGTATATTAATAACAACATGCCATAAAACACAGAATGGGTTGTACTGCGTCTCTCATATGAGGCCTCATGCAGGGACACTCACAAGATGGAAAATACCTGCTTCCATCCACCACTGTCATCACCAGCATGGAGGAGTCTGGTATATACAGAAATCAGTCTAATGCCAGAGGAACTGATAAAGGCTCACACTGAGTACAGGCAAAGCCTTTGGAAGGGAAGAGAAGAGAACCATCAATTCCACCTAGGTGGTTTTATACAAGCCTCCTTACAAGGTGTAACTGCATGGTCCTCAAATGATGGAATGATATAATTTGGATTCAACTACATTTGCTGTTAAGAAAACAATTCCTGCATACCTACAATCCGCTGGCTCTTATGCAGGTTGGCCAGTGTAGTTAAGTGAAAAAGATCTAATATTGGTCCTAAACACAGACACAGACACACACACACACACACACACACACACACACACGATAATACAGTGAACAGCATAGATACGTAGGGAGGAAGCGATCGAGCATTTCTTAAGTACTATCTATAATGTGAATCATTTGTCACTAATTCATTGAATGATCAGCAGCTTTCATGCTGTTCTTTTGATTTTCAGGTAGAGATACAGATTAAAAGAAACAGATATTCTGAGGATATAGTCCTGTGAGTTAATCTCTAAAAATATTGTAATTAATATATTAAAAAATTCAACATATTCTTTATAGACAGAGATATTCAGAGGTTCAAAAAGTGACCTCTTACCTAAAAATCTATTCCAGAAAATTCACAGTTGATTTATTTTTAGGTGTACCTTTCTGACATACAGTAGTTGTGGTAGACAGATGCCATGGACAGAGCTGAGGTTGTAGAATCTACTTGAATTCAATCTAGAAGCAAGCAAAGTTAACTACACCCATAAGGGGGAGCTAGCAGTATAAACACAGCAAACTTTCATGTGCCATGACCAAGAAGCATGGAGACCTGTGA